GGAGATATAGACATCGTGGTTATAGATGCTCCTATCCGCCTAAAAGTAGCCATCTAGTCCCACGTACGGTGTTCCAATGTGGGGCGACCGATTTAGAAACTTCCCTCGGTTTTCTAGGCCAGTTTCTCTATGTGTTTCTCTTCTATTTTTGGCTGGTGTTCTATTCATTTTTTCATATTTATTTCTCTTTTCTAGTTTATTTATTATTCTTTCTTTTTCGTTTTCCAAATTTCACTATATAAAAAATATTATTTCTTTCTAAAAAATTGGGAACATTTCAAATTATTAAATATGTAAACCCGCAAATACTTTTTTCAGAACCATGAGCATTTTCTCATATTCGTGTTTTTACTAAATTTATGATTATTTCTAAAGTTCATGAACATTTTTTAAATTTATGAATATTAATTCAAATTTCACTATTTAGTAATTCATGATTATTTTTCCAAATTCAAGAATTGTTTTGTCAATTTTTGGAAAATTCTAAAATTTGTCCTTTTTAAAATTTCATAAACATTTCAAATCCGTGAACATTTTTTGGAATTGGGATTATTTTTTGAATTCAACAATATTTTTTTAGTTTTGTGAATATCTTTTTGAATTCATGAACATTTTGTATTTCACCAATATTTTTGAAAACTAACTAAAAAATAGGCCATATTTTATGAGAGAACGGACCAGCGAGTGTGGGGATGAGTTTGCACTTTACCAGCAATATGGCAATTAAGTTGCTGTAGAGGAGGTTGGGCACGATGAGAAACCCCCAGAGCACAACACGACCCGAAGCCCAATGAAAATAATTTACTACACAAAAAATGATCTACTAAATCACAATACAGATAATATAGTTGCATATATTTCATGTAATATCGGGCATTTTTTAACAAAAATGACAGTCTGCATTTTCTTGTTTTTCCTATGCGACATCTAAAAAAAAATCAGCTAGCTACGCCTATTGCATATGCTCTCGGATCTTGGTGCCGTCACACATGTTTTCACACATATTATTATGGCGGGCATAATTTTTGCATGCCACGGGTGCAAGACAAAGCAGCGACGGTTAACTTTCAAGTGCCTGCCACTGATGCTTTCACCCCGTAGGCAATTTGGGAATAGTTTATGTGCGACAGGTTGTAAGTGGGGGTAGCTTCTATTGCCCGCCGCTGCTATTTTTCCGAAAAAGCGGTGCCAGGTTCCTAACAGTGCCCGCCACCGCCACAAATTTAAGCTCATCTATAAGTTTTTTCCTGGTAGCAAGTAGTAATCCGTTCATCATTCATTAAAATTGTTGGGTCGTTGAAAATATTGTATACCAACTCAACACTACCGTAAGTTACCGGTCCTCGTGCAATGACATACCAATGGGACATGTGTCCACTTCATGTCTCCGCTCCTCACATGCTCTAGAGTTACTTGCACAATGTGTAGGTGGGTGAGACCGACGGGAGCTATAATAATTCAGAAGTTCTTTTCCAATTACAATCAAGATCACACACGTATATATATGACCTTCGCTTCTCTCATTTCTCTCCTCAGAACCATAGCACATGACATACGTTCCCGTGCGGAGACCTAGCTGATGGTAGACCCGCTAATTATTTATGTTGTAGATATATATATAGCTGCTCTTTCACAAGCAGAGCAAAAAAAGGGGGATGGCACATGTGTCAATGGTCATGGGTCATATAGGCTCGGGAGGCATCACGAATTGGAGGCTACAAAGAATAGTATTTTTGTCCCAGATGGTCTGTTCTCTTATCCTGGCACCATTTCAGTTGATGATGGACAAATTCACACCGCCAAAGAACATGAGGGTGCTTTCCGACAGTCTTTACTAACCAATGTATCACGGTACTGCCTCCTGGCACATGATGGTTCAGCCAGTGCTCCTGTGGAAAATGAAGCTCTCTACGCTCAGCACATTCACCCCCGTTGAGCTTTGCTGCTTGCAAAACAGTCACCGCTGAAGAAGATCAGAAGCTCCGATGAAAAGCTGGCGCAAAAAGCACTGATGGCACTGTTCACGCATCATGTGGCCAGAGAGTTTTGACATTCATACATGTGCAATTGTGTTTACCTATTCCCTGTCTCCGCTGTTTTAGTTTGTGGGTTGCAGCTGTATGGATTTCTAGCAGTCGAGGGACAAAGGTCCCGGAGATGTGGTCAAATGTGATGAACGTGGAGACTGCGCCGGTACTTCCTGTAACATACCAAGTAGTTTGTATCTCGACGACCTTCCATGTATATCGATGACTTGTGGGCTCTCCTAACCATAGCCGCCAAGCCTCCTCTCCGTCCCTTTCTGTCTCGCCGCTGCCAGAGGGTCCCTCTGGCAAAGCACGGGCCAGCTCCAAGGAAGGTGGCGGCGGGGCACCTGTCTCCCCCGTCGTGGCGCGAGGTTGCGCGGGCATGCGACTCATGTGGAGTGGGCGCACGGAGCGGCATTGCAGTGGCAAGGTCGGTCATGCGGCAGCTGCCGGTGAGCAGTGGCTCACGGTGTCGGTGTGGCCTGGTGGTCAGCCTCTTGCCTGTTGGTGTGGATATGACGAAATTTCTCGATGTGATCTATGGACTTGAGTGCGGGCGGCCAGGGAGGGGATCGGCTGGCGGCTGTTGTCCCGGATGCGGATCTAGTGCGGCCTGCTCGTCAGCGCGACGGGAGCTCAAGTGCGGCTGACCAAGGGACAATACGCGTGGGATTCGGGCACAAGTGCCCGGATCTAGCGGTCGTGGCGGTGGTTGCCTTTGTGTGGGCGACCAATCAGCTATATGCCGTGCGTGTTTTTGCCGGAAGCCAGTCAGCTTGGTTGTGCATGTCTTATCGAAAATATATCAACGCGTAGGATTTGACATCTACGTTGATAAATCTCAACCGTAGACACAACTTAATCTTTTAGTATAAAATCTTCGCCGTTCGTTTTCTATCATCTGAATAATATAGTGTTTTTATCATTTATGCCACTAGTTGTGTCCCACTACTCAGTTTTGTCGCTAGGAATTTAAGTGCTAAAAAATGCAACTAGACATCATTATTGTTAGCTCAAAGCCCGCTTAGCATGCTAAAATGACCAAAATACCCATGTACCAACATGCTAGCTCTCCTTTATCTCACTACAATAATGTGTGGGTTCCTCTTAAATTATTCGGTTCTTACTCTTGACAAGAGGGCCCACACTTGTTAATGTGGGATAGCATGATTAGACATGTGGGTCTGGGAGTATTTTTCTCATATAACATTGTGAACGGGTTTGGCCTGATAGTAATGGTGTCTAATAACATTTTAAGCAAATGTCTAATGAAACGATCACATTTTTGGGATATCTAGTGCCATCTGTGTGCAAGCATCTGACAGAACGATGACATTTTGTTATAGTTGTCACTTTCAATGACAAAACTAAGTAGTGGGACACAACTAGTGACATAAATAATAAAAACCCAATAATGTAATAGATAAATGAGTTACTCTGTAGTTTCTTGGATTTTTTTATCAAGAGCAATGTATTCTCGTGCTTGAATAAAGGCACGTATCTTTCTTAAAAACACACACAACACTATGCGCCACCATAAGTTCCCAGTCCTCTTGCAAGGACATACCAAAACGACTCGCAACTACTTCGTCTCGCCCCTCCTCACATGCTCTATGATTATTTACACTGTGGGTAGGTGTGCCAAAAAAATGGCAGTTATAATTGTTTACAAGTGGGTTTTCTCTCAGGGTGAATATCACACTCGTATCTCATTCAATATATATCATACCACCTTGGAATCTCTCATTTGTCCCGTTAGAACCCAAGCTGTGAAGCTAGCACACGACATGCCCGTGTTTGCGTGGAGACCTTGGCCTACTTTCAGAGGAAGCGAAAGGAAAAGCATGACACATATTCCATTGGTCTTGGGTAATGTACGCTTGGGAAGCATCAAGAATGTGAGGCTACACGCTAGTCCAAACTACCAGGCCTTGACAACGCCGCCCTACAGTACCAACTACAAGGTCCGTCGTAGTCACAGTCACATGTTTGATTCGTGTTTATGCACAGTACCACCCCGACGCCTGAAAATCAGGGGGGCAGAGAGATTAGATGTAAAAATTATCATGTTCATGCATGGATGGGCTCCTTGCGTGGTTAAAGGAATAGGCGGGGCCACCGTTGTTGAAATTTGTTGGTGTGTACAAATTATTTGATACAAACTCAACACTACCATAAGTTCACAGGAGGGCTAGCGAGTAGCTAGGGCCGCCGCCGGATCCTTCCTCCGTCGCCATGTCACCCGAACCTACCCCCGCCGCACAACACCGGGGCGTCCCTGTTAGGAAATAAACTGTGATGCGTGTGTGTCTGCGGTCACCAGTGCGCGTGCGTTGGGTGATGTCAGTTGGATAGATTAGTTGTTGCTAATGCGAGTCATTACAAGTCCGGCGTGGAGCTGCATGCATGAAGCCAGTCCGTGGTCATCCTGCTGGACCGCCACTTGCGTTGGTGCGCGTGTATCTCGTAGTGCATGAGTGTGGGACATGCACAAGTGGTGAGAGGTCCTGCGTGCGTGCGCTCAAGACATGGTCCTCCATAACAAATGGGACGAAGAACTAGTGAGGCAAACTTTTACCCCGGAAGATACAAAGTATATCCTTCAGATCCCAATCCAAGATCATCTCGAGGACTTCACGGCATGGCACTATGATAAAAAAGCTGAAGAAGATGGTGGATTTGACTGGCTTAAACTATGGACAATGCCCCTCCCAAACAAAGTGCTCCATTTTTTATGGAGGCTAGCAACCAATAGCTTACCGTTGCGAACAAAGCTACAAAACAGAGGTACAGGAGAAAGGGAAGGGGATAGCCCAACAGCCAAAGCAAAAGTGGACAAGACCAGCTTCAGGAATATTGAAGATCAACACTGATGCAGCTTTTCACAGGATTTCCAATGATGGAGGTTGGGGATTTATCATTAGAAATGATCAAGGTATAGCTGTAGCTGCAGGTGCTGGCAAACTGGAACATATGGCTGATGCTTTCCAATCTGAAGCAGTGGCTATGTTGTATGCAATAAACATTGCTAGCCAAATGGGCTGTGATAGAGTGATGTTTGAAACAGATTCTACACAGTTAAGAAGGGCTGTGTCTACTGAGGAATATGACCTGTCTGCACTAGGGGCCATTTTCAGAGAGATTAAATTTCAGTTACATGTAGGTTTTTCAGATGTATGTGTTGTAAACTGTTCACGAACATGTAACCGAGTGGCGCATAGGCTAGCAGCGTTTGGAGCAACATTAAACTCTGGTGCATGTATTACTTGGCTGGGACAATTCCCAGAGTTTGTTCAGAACCTTGTAGCTGGGGACTTGCCCAGCAATGATATGTAGGAGGAATGCAATCTGTGTTCCGTTTCAAAAAAAAAAAAAGACATGGCTAGGTCGTTGGTTTAGGCGGTGTGTGTGCTGGGCTATATAAGCCCATGTAATCACCTTGTTCCTTGAGCTGAGTGTAAGCCATGTAGCCATTGTAAAGAAGAAAAGATTGGGGCGTTTGAGCGCCCGTGGCGGCGTTCGTCGCCGGCCAGAAAATCTTGTGTCCACTGTTTTTCTTCTTCCACCTCCGTTCGAGTGAGAGGAGAGGTAGCTAGAAGGCTGCGGTTCCAACAGTCCCCGCCTCCCTCCTTCTGTCCCTCGCCACCACTCTCCTCTCCGCCACCGCCGGCGAGGCTGCCAGGGCAAGGCCCGAGCGGCTTGGCGGCGGCGGCCTTCTTCTCGCGCATCAACTGCTCAAGATCGCTGCGGTTGTTTCGGTCTTGATCTCCTCGGCGGTGATGGTGGACAACGACGGTTGCAGTGTGGCGGCGGGTCTGTAGCCACAGCGGCTGGCGGCGGCGGCAGCCATGTTGCAGCCATCCGGCCTTTGGTTCGGCTTCGGATCGCGGTGGCGCTCCTGGTCTTGATCTGCATCACGCGGGCGCCTGGGCCGGTGACCTGGGCTTGGTGGTGGTAGTCCTGGCTACGAGTCGGGGAGACATAGTTGTCGGTGAAAACCAAGCCGCCGGCAGGCGATGGCAGCATTCTACGCCGTTACCTTAATGAAGGCATCACCGTGTAACTACTGTTGACTCACTCGTGTTGCTCCGGTGAAATCCCTAGGATCTGGTCTTCCCGGTCGAACGGTGACAACACTGGAATGTCGTTTGTCTCTAGGGAGCATCATTGGTGGAGCAGCGCTGGAAGACAGTGACAGGAGGTGGAGCCTCTTCGTCTTGCACGGAGATTCGGTGCAGATGTCAAGTCATGCCTGACCGAGAGGTGTTGTGTCATGTCTGTTCGGCAGGTGCTACGCACGGCAGATCTTCCTGAGGCTTCAAGCTGTGTCGACTGGTGGTACTTGGCGGCATGGTGCTGCGGTGTACTGGCGACGACCATGACGTGCTTAGCAATTTGCACGCAGGGAGGCGGTGCCGTTGGGCGCCGTGGTGGCTTTGACGGATGGCCGGTCTGGCAAGGATGATGCAGATCTTTTTACTGAAGATGGGTGAGTGGTTTGATGATGATGACAGCTTCTAATACGTGTGCATGTGGTGTACGCTTTAGGTTTGTTGTACCGGCTATAGGTGCCGATACATTATCTGGATGGATCGGCGACGACACCGATTTTAGATATGGGAAGTGAGAGCACTTTACATTATCGAGTTTTTAGATGTGAGTGATGGTTTCGAGTGGCTTGATGTATGTTCTGGATAGACCTTTGTTGAATAATTAATAATGATGGTTGTTTGCATCGATTGATGCAGACGCCGGGGATTCTAACCTCCTTTTCCAAAAAAAAAACCCACAAGTTCACGGTCCTCTTCCAAGAACATACCAAACGCTACATGTGTCTCCTCCACACATGCTCCAAGGTTACTTCCACAGTGGATGCGAAAATAATGGCAGTTATCATTGTTCAGAAGTTTTTTTTTCCTCGCGACCAAGATCATACTTGTATAGGACTCAATATATATCACCGCTGCTTCTCTCATTTCTCTCATCAGTACCATAACAATGGGCATATGGTCTTCTTGACGAAAACTGATACATGAAGGTGAACACCTGAGCCCGTTGGCTATTAATATGTTCATTTCCAGACTTTTGTCTGATCTCGAGTTTTCACAGCCTGTGAAACATCTGGCACCTGCCGGGAGACATCAACCTAACGGTTTTTGTTCTCCATGGTATGACTAGACCCCGCCACGCCTGAAGAGTTTGCATGATGCCAAGCTCTCTCCCTTGCAAAAAAACCTAATGGTTCAGTGTATGAAAGTTGCATTAGACTGTAAAACGGTTGTCTCTGGAATTAATAGTACTAGTACACTTGATATCATTAGTATGGTGGCCAAGGATATTAATGACACGGCAACCAAGTTTAAGCCCTGCCTTTTTGTTCAGGAGGGTCATCAATGCAACATTATTGAGATGGCACGCCATTTAGCAAACATGCTTTGCATTTTGGAGAAGGTCGCCTGTCATGGCTTACAAACACGCATGCTTTGGACACGTATAATTGTTGGTTGAACCTAAGTGAAATCTCAAACACACGTACGGCATCTAACAGACTATCACGTCAACTCAATCGGATCATCACCTGATCACCGTCTCAATACAACATCACCCATGGTCGCCCTCGGCATCACCATGTCTGTCTCGCTATACCCGGAAGATTACATCGCCGGTGGAATGAGCCTTCTCTCTGAGGCATGCCTCCTTAGCCGCGTCGGTATTACCTTCTTAGGCCTATAGTTTTGATCCGGAAGGTAGTTGCACAAGGTACAGTTCACTGTAGTAGTTTAGCTGATAAACAGATGTCATGATCTTGGTACTATCTTTTTGTAGTACAATAATAATAGTGAGATATGGTTCTATTATGCAGAAAGACAATAGACGTTTACCTCATCAATCCTTTCGTTTTTGTGATACAGTTAGTAGGAAAAGGCATTTCCGTCAATGGCGATATTCCTACGTCTTCCCCACATGCGAATGCCGATAATCGCGGTTGCATTCACCGGAAAAAAAAATTATCCGTGCAAACAATGGGAAGTCATAAAACTCTGTCGGGCATTGGCCCAGAGAAGAAAATGATACCGGACGAGACAATGAAGGCCGACACCCGAATTCCGGAGACACAACCAAACTCCACGGACCAACGACACGGAGAAGAAGACGATGAAGGCCCCCACAAACCCGAGTAAAAAAAAGGCCACCGCCACTGTCTTCACGCCGGAATTCAAGAGACAGCGATGGATGTGTACTGGGGAGAAGACCCACAGCTTGGCCGGCGGCAAGACCAGGAGGCTTGGGTTAACCCACTGCTTGGCTAGAGGCCAGACCAAGATCTTGCTACACTAGTTGCAACTTTTCTTATGATCTCTGCTAGTATACAAAAAAAGAGTGGATGCAGCATCTCATCTCATCATGTTGAATCAAATAATTATTAATCGATCGATCGGCCCCATCCAGAGGCTGCCACAAGTTGTGCGTACCACAAGTACGTTAGGACATGTACGATCGGACCTATCTAATTGCATATGCATCACCAGTCTTAACCAACTCCAATCTTCATTGATTCCTGTATGTAGATCATAGATCTCTGGCTATGGACGAGAGAGGATTAATTTCTAGCACGCAGGTTCGAGGGCACGCGCATCCTTCACCCTTGATTTATGCCAAGATTCACGACATGGGTTACGTATACATATAGTTTCATTTTTGTTCTTGTGTGTAATCCATTCTTAATGATACTTCTCGACGATACTTCTGCTATTTTTTATCTTGAATATGTTAGCCCTGCTTTGTGACTGATACTCATGTATTCGCCAACGAATTTTAGCCCTTCCTCAAACTAATCGCTAGCATGGAGTTACGTCATGTACTAGTGTACTAGCTACTTGTATTGATATTTGAGAGATAAAGCTTAGAGAAGCCAGTGAAGTACTTGTCAATGGATGGCTTGACGTCCGTTGAAACAAACGAATTTGCTGCTGATTGCTGAGCGCCGACTCGCCGGAGCAGGCTGAATGAGGAGTTGACTGGGAGCCTAGGGTTGGAGAGGCCGCCACCTGATGATGTGACGGAGAGATGGGGCGATGGTTAGGTTTACATATTTTTTTCGACAATCTCACGAAGCCTTTATTAAATCGTCACAATGTTTATAGACACTAAAGGAAGAAGATCTCCGGGATGACCTAATAAAACATGAAGAGGATGGGCCGGACTCGGCCGTGCATCCTCTCTCTGCCGCTGGCTTTCCACTGATGTCTCTCAGAGGTCTCTTCAGAGATGTGATGAATGTTTCGGGAAGGGACACATCTCTTCGACGGATGGAAACTCCTTCCAAGACATCTCCATTACGAGAGCGTTGATGGTGTTTTCCGCAGTTCGTCATGTAAGGTCGTCCCTACGAAATGAACCCGAATATGGTAAGGATGGTGAGTATGATCTTCATGTAAACGTCACAACTCATCCAAATCAGATGGGGTCGTACCTGGTAGGGAGAGGAATAAAGATGAGATAGCTGCTTGTGTTCCCTTGCGCTGGCCAGAACAAATCGGCCGGCAGCAGGGTGTGGCAGCTCTTCACGCCTTGGCTCGCTGCTCTTGGTCGCACTCGCACATGGTAACCACAAGGGAAGAAGGGCAGGAGATGACTGAACTTGTTCCCCATCTCCGTCAGCCCTCTTCCCGGGCGGCCATGACGCATGACCAAGGAGAAGCAACAGTGTAGGACGCCGGGAACATGGGCGAAACGACCAACTTGCCAGCCACCAACAGAGCAGGAGGCCAGCGTACGTAGATCGGATGACCTAGATCGTATCTTGTATATATGTGGAGCGGAGACGAGGAACCTGCTCGAGCTGTGCACCATGTCGAGGAAGTCAAAGAGGCCAGTAGAGAAGGACTCGACGACGGTTGCAGCGCCAATCGATTGTGTGCGTGCGAACGACTGATCAGGTCGGTTGCACGACACGAATGAAGCAGCTGGCGTGCGTTCGGGTGATCAAATCAAACGCCCGCGAGGTCGGAGTCCATATCGTATCGGCTGGCGATGCAAGCGCGGCAGGTGGCAGGCGCGTGTTGGGCAGAACACTGGTGGTCGTGGTACGCGTATATGACACGCGAGCACACACAGCCCATGGCTGGGAACGCCTACAGCCGCACGCGTCCATGGTGCAATGAGCGAAGCAGCCAAAGCACACCATCGTGGATCGTGGGCCACATGGCCCGCACAGGAGTACGCGACGAATCCACGGCAGTGCTGGTGTGGTGTATCAATGCCGTATAGACACGGTTGGTTTAGAAAAGGATCCGTATCCATCTCGTACGTGAGATCACGACCTTTCTTTTTTA